GGATGGGAGATGTCTGCCTCAAGACTCCTCCTGGTCATTCTTCGGTGCAAGCTATGCAGTGTGAGCCAGCACAAGGCAGAGATGCCCAGATTATTGTACCTGTTCCAGAAGAAGCAGCTGTTGAGCTGCCTCCAGGCAGCAGTGCACTGAAGCTAACTGGCCCAGGTAAGATTTAAGGCATAAGTTCTACAAACAGCAGTCTCCACAGTCTTGCACAACTGTGATTCATCTCCTCAGTGCAGTTCACCCTGAGCACTGGAGAGCAGCTGTGGAATTAAGCCTACATTATGATAAATATGTACTAGAAGGCCCTCCCGGTGGCTATCTCCAGCTTTCTGCAAGGGGCCTGAACCTCCAGGGCTCCCTACAGACCTTTGCGACTTGTAGCCTGTTCACTGCCTGACCTAATTCTTCCAAATGGCTCACCCATTTTGGCTGACAATTTCCTCTAAGTGCCCAGACACCAAGCAATGGAAAATTTCTTTTAAATGCCAGTTAATGAGCAATGGAAAATGTCATCACGATGAAGTTATGCAGGTACTTAAGTGCTCTGCTGGATCAGGCCTTTGCGAGCTACATTGTAGTCTCACATTTGATGAGATTTTCTGAGTGTGATAAATAAAATGAGATGAACCTCTATGATAAGGAAAAAAAAAAAAGATATGTGTAAAATATTTTTGAAGCTTCTATGGTACTCAGATGGCATGATGGGGAGAAAGAGGGAAAGAGAATGCAAAATCATAAACTAGGCTATGCTTGTGTAAATTACTCTGACATTTAATAACTCTCTACTAAAAATTCTCAAGCAAGGCTACTTCAGATATTTTTAAGGTCATGTATCATTTACTGTCTAGGTCAATTTATGCATCAGCAAAAATTGCTGCAAACCCTTCTGGACAGCACTTTAAAAATAAAGGTATATGTAACTGTTCTGGCCATATTTTCCTCACCAGTTTCTGCTCTGCGAACATTTCACCTTGGAAAATTAAAGTTACATTCTATAATAAGTGAAGTCAGTATGATATTTCAAGGCAAGCCAAGGACAGGCTTTATAACTGTGCTATCAAAATGCTATTAATAAAAGCAAAAATACACGCACAATGCCTGTGTTCCTCTATGGATGGAAAAAATTATTGTCCATTAAGTTAACATTTCAGACACCCTCTCAGTTTTTCCTGAGGTCCCAAAGAAGGCAACACAACACATTATCTCTTGATGTTAACTTTGTATAAACTATCTGCTATCATGTAGTGCTCTGTTTTAGTAAACACTCCAAGGCTTCTTAAGAGAATATATGGACGAGTATGATTTCTGGGGGGGAAAAAAGGCAGAAAACTGTGGCTAGAATATTATACTTTCATAGCTAAGTTTTATACCGGTGTCTTAGTTTATTTTTGTTTGGGTCCACAGGGTTGTATTTATAAATGCATTTACATAAAGCATCTAAATTCACTTCTCTGTTTATATGGTTCCCCTCACTGCCGTATCCAACGGCTCCGTGGTTATTCCCAGGTTATTCCCAGGCACTGCAGTAAGTACTATTATCTCCTTTTGACAGATGTGAAGCCAGACATAGCTAGGTATGCTTGTGCGGCACGAGGCAGTGCTGCAGAGAAATGTCCAAGCTGTCTCTGAATGGGCAAAGCGGGCTAGAAGATATCACACACATTAAGCTACCTCTCTCAGTGCCCCTCTGCATGTCCCTGAGCATCGCTGAGCCATGCTCCGCAAAAACAGACAACAAGGCTGAGGGCACTCTGCACCATGCAAGAGAGCATGACCAGAGACCCTTGTTCTCAGGACCACTGAAATTTCCTGAGGACTTCTGCAGTGCTGTCAACAGAATACAGTGGTGCTATAACTTTATATATCCAGAACAGTTACATATACCTTTATTTTTAAAGTTGCTTTTGTACACAACCAAAGAAACATACAGGTTCTCCCAGGTTTAGAAAGCCTATGGCTTTTCTTGATGCCTGCCTTGCCAGAAGTCTAACTGCAGAAGCAGAGGAGAGACTGTGAGGTGTTTATCAAATTTCCTTAGGTACATAGCACAGGTGGCTACCCAGATACATACCCTCTTTATTTAACTGTTCCTTCCCTAGGAGAAAACATGTTTATGTTTAAAGTACCGTATAATTGCACTGAGTTGTAGAGTTTGTGCCCACACCATTTTTAAAAACAAATTATCCGAGGAACATATGGCTTGGAAAATTTGCCTTTTCACCTGGTCTCATGTGATCAAAATGCACACACGCATGTTTTCACTGGACATAAATTATAAGCACATGTGTGTGTTTTGTTTACTTCTTTTCCAGTGCTTAAAAATAAAAAAAATTTGAAATTAAAATGTAGTTTGGGAACAAAAAAAACCCCAGTATAGCTCAGTTTGAAAATAAAACAGAGCATTTAAAAACATTCTGGAAAAAGGCAGTATTTGTCAAATTAATCTCATTATTTATAATAACTTCTGTCCTCTCACAAATCTTGGTATTTTCATTGAAACCACTAATAACGATTTTCCCATTTTTCCAGCCCTAACAAGAATTAAAGATGAACTACAACATAAAGTCACTTCTCTTTGTTAGTTACATTGATGCAATGTTAGATATTTTGAAAAACCTCACTCCAAAATACAAATGCTCGTTTTAAAGCTCTGTGCTAAAAGGACTTTAAAAAGGAGCCCTTTTTCACTTGCATTTTCAATGCTCTCATTACACCGACAAGAAATTCTTAGGACACTTCTCAGATCTTCCACATTTATTTCATTTCATTTTAGATCCCTGTCTCGTAAAATACAGTGAGAAGTTCTCAGGCAGTTTATAGTACTATTAAAGACTAAACTAACTTTATTATTCATTCAATCTCCTCCATTATTTATCCCTCTTGATTTGAAAGTAGGACTCACAACTGCAGCACCAGGAGTTTGCTGCGAGTCCCTGGAACGCAGCCTCACCACAATTAGCCATTGATCCAGCTGCTCGTACCATGACAAGGGAACGCAAACTCCCTCCTCCTTGAGGCTACAGCTCCACAGAGAAACCCTTCAACATTACAGACTTCTACCACTACATTTCTTAACTTAATAAACAGAATCAGCTCAGAGCTAAGTTCTTAAGCTGCAGTGAGATACACATACTTTTATTCATTAGGAAAGTGTGAAGGGGGAGTATTCCATCATGAACCTGTTCAGCTTTTCTGTATGTGCAATTTTATTCTTTTTTTGGCCAACTTTTGGTAAAGCAAGTTTGCATGCGCTTGAATTGATGTAACAAGATCTCTCATGCAGAACTAGATACATGTTAAATATGCTTTTTTTTACTGTAAGAGTAAAACCTCACTAATGTGCGAAAGACCTGTGGCAAATATTCACATTTTATGAATGAGGTTAGTGAACAATGAGCTTGGAGAAAGGAATAAATCAAAGAAGGCACTGCAAAATTCACAGCACTCAGTGAATATGACAGATGTCACTTAATTTTAATTATTGATGACAGTATTTCAGACTATGCTTGTTAACATGCAGAAGTATGAAAGCAGACCACTTTACAGTACCCAGCTGCTAAGAGGTCACTAGAAAGTGGTATGGTAGGAGACATAAAGATTTCAGTAGCACTTTCTAGTAAGTGTGTTGATTTCAATGTTTTATTATCCCTCAAGTTTTATCTACCACTATTGTAAAAAGACAGAATTTCTTCTCAGTATCCATTTTAACTGGAAACAATAAGTAATCTACATCGTGCGTATGGTGTAGAGTTCAGGTAAGCCATTTCTGTACCTGCATGATGCATTACAGCTTTTAATATTGCAAGCCAGCAGTCAAAAATGTCATGCATAACTTCACCACACTTTGTACTGATGCTCAGATCTATCCATGTCAGTATGATTACAAGGCAGTAGCCATATTCAGATGTCTATGATGGATTTTGGAGCCTAATTCTTGACCCATTTTTTCAGTCCTGTCTCTGATTTATATTTGATAGGTAATCAAGTTGATTATTGAAATGTCAGAATTTTCTGTGATCGACTGTGATACTTTAACAATGTATATAACACAGTTTCTCTGTTTAATACATAGCACTTAATTTTTTCCTTGTTAAAAAGTGCTCTACTGGCTTTAGTTACACTCATGAGAACGGAGAAGTGAAAAAGCATGTTGTTTGCCTGAGGCCTCAGGTGGAAAGAAAAGGTTTCACAGCTCAGAGAATCACTCTTCGGTGACATTAAAACTTCTCATAGTCCTGATTCTAGACTGAAATCAACTGCTCACATCTTATAAATGAAGTGTGATCCCAAAATACTCCCAGTCTATTAAATGAGAACCAGACAGGCAACCAATATACAAGTAGTTCACTCCCTGACCTATAGAAGTTCTCTTCTTGACCCTATATGCTTGGTAGATATGTTTATGCATGTACATTTAGTGGCTCAGGGAGGAAATATCCACCCTATGATGTAATACGTAGATGTGTTTGGATTTATATTGCTTTAAATAATGATGTAATATCACAGTCTCTCGGGAACCTCACGTTAATTTCCTACCTACCAAAGCTGGCTTCTGTAAGTCTCTTTGCCAGCCCCAATTCCCATGGTGGGCTGAAACGGTTTATGCCTGTCTGGGCTTGTTTTAAGGACACTCCCCGCACACGCCTCTTCTGGGCCCTGAGGACCTCAGCAGAGACCTGGATGGCCACAGGGCCGGCGGGATGGTGGCCTCCAGTACGGGCTTAGGAGCCACAGGCGAATCGAGGGTACGAGGCCGCCTGAGGCTAGGCCGATGGCCGGAGGGCGCACCCAGCCCCCCTGGCAGCGGCAGACTTAGCTTTTTCTTTCACTAAGCTACTGGGCGGCAGGTTTCGAGGGCGCACAGCCGAGGGCGGCCCACGGAGGCAGAACCGGCCACCGCGGCGGCCGCGCTGACACGCGAAGGCCCCTCACGGCCAG